AAATCATTTTATCATTTCTATTCATTTTAAAAAATTTCTTGAATTTCGTTACTAGGCTCTGATACCAATTAATAGCGGAATAATGGTTAAAATAGTTAAAGCCAAAAGATAAGGGTATAATAGACCAGTCACCTTAATTTTTTATTCTCTGTTTTTGAGTTCGTTTGCTACGTTTCTGGACAACCATCATATTCCCAAATTTCCCTCTCTTTTTCTTGTTTGGCACTTGAATCCCAACATTCAAGCTATTTTACCGCAAGGTACGCTCCATTTAGTTACTTCTATACATTTCTTGTGAATTTAATGATAATTCTTGTTCAATTTATGGTTTGTATTTTAGTTATTTAGAAAATTTGATTCCGGTTTGTTCAGTTGCTGTTTCTCTTGCAGTAAATACACAAACTCGTATATTTGTATGTATATATGTTTTTTTGAGTGTATATATGACTGCACTGTGGTTCGATACTCCAATTGATGCACTCTGATGATGCGTGGAGAGAATTGAAGGGTCTAAGTTTTTGTTCATTAATTTTATGAGTTGGAAAATTTGAATTGTGTGATGCAGTGATTTAGTAGATTTGGGTAGTTTAGAATTCAGTTAATGCTTTTTTCTTTTTTGGGTTTTTGATTGCTTAAAGTTCAAAATTGAGATCTGCAGTTGGGTAACTTGGGTTAGTCTTGTGTTGGAGAGTTTAGTACTTGAAAATCTGGTTTCTTGTACTGATCAAGCTCCGTTTGATTGTTGTAATTGATATATAATTTCTGGTATGCAAGTTGGTGGTTTTTAAAGTTTAGATTGGTGACTTTGAGTAAAATATCATCATCTGCAGAAATAAACTAAGAAAGTGAGTTATATGATGTTTCTGTTTTGACCACTTAGAAAAATATGAAAAACTTAAAGAAATCTCTGATGCTTCTACAAAGACGCTAAAGGGAAATGACAGAACAGGTTTGTTATAATTTTTACTTATAGAAATTCCAATAAGTCATATTAAATATTTTGCCATTAAGGTTATAGATAACTTTGGCCTTTTCCTTGTTACCCTTGCAGTTTGTTTTGACCTGTTTATTACATCTGAATTTAAGAGAAAAAAGCTCTTTACTATTAATTTCTTATCCTCTTTTGGATTTCGATACTTATTAATGGCTGATGGAAATTTTGTCGTTCCTCGAAAATCAAATTGCATGTGAAAGATGTAAAGATGTCTTTTACTTGAACAATAAAGCAATTGACATTTAATGGCACATCTGAAGAGCTGCATACGTATTTATGTCATTGGATGTCTTGATGGCAAATAATATTGCAGTGGTTTTCATATGTAATTGTTGAACTGCTCCCAATCCTACTTAGACCATGATGACAAGTAATCGATATAACTCAGGTTAATTTTCTTTTTGTTTGTGTGCTATAGAAGATTGTGGATTTCAAAGCTTAAACATCGTAGTTTTCAAAAACTGGACTGGGTGAAAGGACTAAAATGTGACATTAGTTAGTTTGCTGTTTGATTTAGCTTGTCCTGTTCCAATATCTAATTGTCAATTCATGGTGATACTCTGTGATCGAGTTGAACTTTTACCTCTAGGATTTGTAATTGGAAATGATTTAAGGTATTTAAATTTGAACTTTTTCCCGATTCTATTTAAAGGGTATTTAAATTGGAATTATTATCCCTGATTCCAGTTATGGAACTCCAGTTTCTGTGTAAACAATCAAGTTATAACGTGTTTTAGCAGTAGCATCATTTTTTTTGAACATCTGAACTTCAAAGGTTGCATGCATTGCATGGCCATAGGGTAAGGACAAAATTGCAGGGCCTCTAGAGTGTAACGATGGCAAGGACTGGTCCATATGTTTTAATATCATATTATCTTAGATATAGTTCTTCTCAACACAACTCAATGGCATCTTCTAACTCTTTCTTCTTTTATGGTTGAGTTTTTGAGACTGTTCATTTCTTAGTTTATGTTCTTGTTGTCGCGGACACCATTGCATACAGTCCATTCGGATGAGCTGTAGTTTGTTGAAGTCTGCCTATCATGATAATTGTGTCTATATGAGTTGAAACACTATATGATTATAAATCCCATCAAGGAAAGTTACATCCCAATTCCTTCGTACTTCAATACAACAAATCCTCTTGAGTGGATAAATCCAGTAGCTCAACCAGCACTTTATAATCCTGTAAAACTTTTCATCACTTTTCTACCACACATTCTCTCATCAATCACTATTCCAAAAATTTTCAACACTCCAAAATGGGGGCCAAACAGAGGCTAAAAAATTATGAATTCATAGGAAATAAGGCAAAATTATGAGTTAAATGTTTCATTAGCCAAGCCNTTTTTTTTTTTTTATATGTAAGCTTACCTTTAGTGTAAAGACAAGTAACTTATTTCCAACTTTGACCAATTTAAAAGTTATTTTTATCAATAATTTGTTTATTTATAAGTAAACCTTTTGAGCTCTTACCCAAAAAGGTGCATTATCCTGTTAAAACTATCAAACTGAACACTCCCTAATAGTGTTCTTTTCCTCTTTCTTTATTGTGTATATTCTTTCTAAAATATTAGAAAATATAATTCTCTTACAGTTACAATGTCAAAATTCGACACATCCACAATGTTATTTATATATAATTTGAATTGCCTTAAATGTCTTCCAGTTCCAGCATAAAAACCAGATGGTGAACGAGGAGCCCTAGAATGAAGCAAAGACATACGAAGATATCCAGCTGATGCCTTTTGTTGACTATTATAGCCTTATAACCTGGAAGACCATCGCCATCTGCATATTTGGGGTGAAGGCTTGTCCCTTCATACGTATGATTGTCTCCATGTGCCTTAATTGTTCCCATCTCTGCCTTAATTGTTCCCATCTCTACAACAGACTGAGGCAGTTTCAGCCAAGTTTGTTATGAAGACAGATGATGATGTATTTGCTCGCGTAGATGAAATCTTGGCTTCTTTAGATAGGATCAATGTGAATAGTGGTCGTCTACTATATGGTCTCATAAATTTAGATTCCTGCCCTCACCGAAATCCAGATAGCAAGTGGTATATTAGTTCTGAGGTAACTGTTTACTTGATTCTATATTATTACATGACTGAACTTAACTGCAGTGGTTAGAGGTTCTGCCATCTTTTTCTTTTAATTAATTAATTTATTTTATATTTTTTCCTTATTAAGCTTCAACTCTTATAATAACTATACCTGTACTTTTATGAGTGAACAAAATTAGAGCAATCAATAATTACTATAAAATTTTCATACCATACTATGCCCCTGTTTGATAGGGATTATAATTAGATTTGGGAAAATCTACTAAAAAATTCTGAATAAAAACTTTGGGAATTATGAATTATTCCATGTCAACATCTTTCTCTAAATAAATGCATAAAGTCAAAAGTTGAAAAAATCCTCCCGAACTGGAAATATGTGAAAAGTAGAAGTTTATGGTACTTAGAGCATCTCCAATGATAATGTAAAATAGAGATTTGGATCTTCAAAGTGGTTAGAAACCTCTTCAATAGAAAGATGCAAATTACATTATCTGCCAAAAATGTAAATAAAAAAAAAAAAAAGGAAATTTACATTTTTGTTTTTTAGTCCATAAGAGACAAAAATAGGATTTAGATCTTTCCATTGGAACATAATTCGGATTTAGATTCATTGAAATGTAAATAAGGATGTAAAAGTAGTTTTGGAGATATCAATTTACATCCAATTTTACACCACTATTGGAGATGCTCTTAGCCCTTGTTGGCCCCAATGTTTTAAAACACTTTTTTTTTTCAAACTCATTTTCCACCACATATTTTATGAGAAACATAACTTTTATCTACTTTTCATCCATACATTTCATCAACTCTTATTAAAATATAGAAAAATCTTATTTTTTAGCAAAACTAAACTGGGGCTTAATTCTCCTGTGTTTTGTTTCTCTGTTTCTTTTTGCGTGTCATTATACGTCATTTCACTTTTTGAACTTTTAATTCATTTTCTTCTCATCCGAATCATTTCAAGGAATGGCCTGAAGATACCTATCCTCCTTGGGCACATGGTCGAGGTTATGTTGTGTGAAGTAATATGGCGAGGATGGTTCATAAGAAGAAGAAGCACAAAAATGGCGACCTAAAGGTTTAAAATGAAATTTTACTGTTTTTGTATTAGACTGTTACTTCAAAGGATGCAAGGACTTTGAATATTAACAAATATGAAGTTATTTAAAATTTAATATTGCAGATCTTCAAGCTCGAAGATGTTGCTATGGGAATCTGGATTTGGGATATGAAGAAGAGTGGCTTGGAAGTTAGGTACGAGAAGGAAGAGAGGATTTTTAACGAGGGCTGCAAGGATGGTTACATCATTGCTCACTGCCAAGGTCCCTGAGAGATGCTCTGTCTCTGGCAGAAAATTCAAGAACATAATCGTGCTAACTGCTGTGGCTATTAAGCCACATTTTGCATTTCGAAATGGACTTGTAGATATGGCAAACATGAGAGTGTGTGCCATGCTCAGTTCATCGAAGCCTTCCACTCATTTGTTTTGATTAGTTAGTAATATGCATATTAGTCCGTATAGTTTCTAGGATTTTCTTGATGCTGTTCATTTTTGAAAGGCAATGAGGGATTTGTATCATATGTAAAGAGAGGGATGAAAGGAAGGAGGATTATGTATTTTGTACAGAGCAATCAAGATTGATTTGACCAACAACAGTGGCTATTATATTATAAATTTATTTCATCCAATCAACAGAAAAAAAAAAAAAAAATGGTACAGAGGACGTAAAAGAAATAAAATAGAAAGCATGCCTAAACTATTTCAATAAACCGTAATAAAAAAAAAAAAAAAAATCTTGGTTCATGATGACATACATCCGATTCCATATCGAGTATTGGGGAAGACAAGGAACAAGCCACTGCAGATGATCCCCACCATTAATGGAAAACTCTGCATAACTTCATCCAATTCCTTAGCATGTCCAGGGAACAAACAATCCGTCACGCGATGATCCGAGAGAGAAATAGCCACAAAAACCAGTACAGACATCATTGCATGAACAAAATCTGTGAAACCAACTTTATACCTCTCATCTTTAGGCACTTCAACACCAAGTCCAGGTTTGAACACTGCCAATCCCTTTGGAGTGACAAATCCATAGTAAACTTTCCCGTCTGGGCCGCGAAAACTATCAGTGAAGTGGAAGAAGAAACACGACAGATTACAAAGGCCTAATAGGACATAGATCATGAGAGTCGATACATGAGAACATTCTCCTTTGCCATAGACAGATGGAAGAACCATTTCAAATGTTAAAAGGGTTCCTGTTGGGAGGAAGTTTATGAGCATTGATGTTTTTGAGAGTGTTTTTTGTACTCCGCTGGCTAGCGCTCTCCTTTTCCGCCCACCAGGACGGGGTGGATCAGGAGCGGCTCCAACTGGTGGGGAAGAAGGGTAGAGGGGTGGCTCAACTTGGGGTGATGCAGTGTAGATTTTGATGCCAATTTCTTCAGATTGCTCCATTTTTTTCTGAGATTGTGGGACTTAACAGATATTAACTCAATAAATAGTACAGATTTTTCAGAGAATTTTAGATTTTTGACAGTACAATGTTATGATTAGGAGAGAATGAGGAAGTTTTATAGAACGGTTTTAATTATAAACTGAATTTTTGAATTCTTAACGGTTAGTAACTGCCAGCCGCCTATTGCCTATTGGTGTCATCCAAAAATTATAGGAAATATAATAAGTTACTTTTTGCCCCTTACCTTTTGGCAATACATTATTTGGTGTTACCAGTGGATAATCAACTTATGCTAACTTGGAGATGTAGAATTAGTGATTCTTTGTTGACACGGGAATGTCATTATTTCTAAACTTACAAGGAAGGAGAATTTAAATTTATGTGTTAGTTTTTCTGAGGGGATTTGTGAAAATTATAACTTGGATAGAGTTCTACATCAATTCAGAATGATGCAATACTGGGCAAATTATATGTCATCGGAAAGCTTACGGAGTTGGAATTTCAACAAATTTTACGTTCCTAATCTCGACATCTCTGCACATGAACATAATTATGGATGAAAAGCATATGAACCAAAAACTGTTGTTTCGTTAGTCTATCATAAACTCACGTATAATTTTGGGAAAATTGCGGCCGTGGTCCCAAACCTTTTATTTTGTTGCAGATTACACTCAAACCTTTTATTTTTGCGGCCGAATTCCCAAACCTTTATATGTAGTTGCAGCGTCGGTCCCAAGTCTTTAATTCCGTCCATAAAATCGATAGTTCACGTTTCAACAGTAATTTT